CAGAAAACCAAACCAAAGCCCTGCACCTGTTTCAGGAATGAGCTGATACCCGTGGGGTGCGGTATTTGTTCTGTTGTCTGACCAGCTGGAGAGGGTTTTTAACCCACTGCAGGCACTGGTCTGATTGCAGCTGTTAATTAATACACGTTATTTGGGCCTTAGATAAGCCTTTGATTCACCAGGAGCATGTCATGAGAGTAGGAACCATCAGTTAAAGACGCAGGGTGCTGGGGTGGGAGGGAGTTTCTGGCAGCAGGTAGGTGCTGACTTCGTGGACTTGAGTCGACAGACCACCAGTAGGAGATACTTGGGTTGGACATCAGGAAGAACTGTCTGCCTGGAAGGACTGTAGAACAGCAACATGTTTTAGAAAAAAGGGAGAGAGCTGTCATTCACGGAAGAGAACAGGAGACTTGCTCCATCACTCATTATAGGCATAGTCACCAGAAAGGGAGAAAGAGTGGTGGTGGTTAAGTTTCCTGGGTCCCTAGGTCTATAGTAACATGGACTCAGGGACTGGAGTCGTGGCCCCTTATCTGTGACAAACCTCATGCCCTGGGGACAGTAATAGCCAGCGCTTCTCTTGGCTTACTGTGTACCGAGACCTGTGCTCAATGCTCCATGTTTATTAATCTATTTAAAACTCAAAACCATGCTGAGAGGTGGGCCTCTCCTTACTGATTCCATTTTACTGATGAGAATGCTGTGGAGTGGCTTAGCCTGGGCCGTGCATCTCACCAGGGCCAGGGCCCAGATTTGAGCCTGGCAGGAGGCTATCTAGCCCAGGATCTTAAGCACTGCACGAGTCCTAATTGGCAGCTAACCCAGTGAACATTTGCAAGTCTAGGATAATCACAGTGAGGCTGGTTTTTACACCGTGCACTGCACCAAGCATTTTATATATTTGTACCTTTGCTTAATCCTCACATCAGCTGTGAGAACTCTAAGGAGTGTTAGGGCCCCTGTTTCTCAGATGAGGGAACTGAGGCACGGAAAAGTTCTGAGCTTGGGCAGAGCTGGAGCAGTATGGCGGGCTTACCCTGACAGTCTGTCCACTGAGCGTGGGCAGGTTTGTGTGAGCAGAGTCCCACAGGTTGCCCAAGAAGCTGCCCCAGCCCTCCTCTGGGCAGGCCTGCCATGGGATGTCACCCCTCCCTTCCAGAGAGCTGATTCTGAACTCATCTGTTCTTCTCTCTCAGAGCACGCCAATTACTTCGGCGTGGATGAAAAGTTGGGGCCGGTGGCTGTGAGCATCAAACGGGAAAAGCTGGAAGACCACAAGGACCATGGGCCTCAGTACCAGTACAGGATCATCTTCCGGACCCGTGAGGTGCGTCCCATCACTGTCGTTATTACTATATAAATAATAGCCACCCACATCTCTGAGCCTTTACTCTGTGCCAGGTTCTGTGGGCAAGTGCTTTCCCTGCTTCTTCTCATGTCAGCCTCCCAACAACCTCATGACAGCAAGCCCCAGGTTAGTCTCCCCAGGTCACGGAAGAGAAAACTGAGACTCAGAGAAAGTATATCACTGATAGGGGATCAAGGGATCAGTGGCCAGGCCAGGATTAGAATCCAGCGAGTCTGACTGCAGAGCGCAAGATTCTTATATTTGCAAGAGATTAACTCTGGTGTTAGCCTAAGAAATAAAGGGAGAGGTGTAGGACATTCTTTTAGGATCAGGGGGGTGTCTTGCTGAATGGAAAGAGAAATTAAGGCAGCCACCTCAGGCCAGGCAGGAATGGAGACTGTCCGCCACAGGCGCTGCTGTTGGTGCTGATCAGCCCAAGACCTCAGCATGTCTCTTTCAATTCTGAGTAGAGAGAATCCCATTTGTCCTGGCTTGGTCTCAGGATTAATGTCACCTGTGTCAAGGGAACAGCCACATCCTGCTTGGCTAGGACTCTAAACTGTGACAGAAATCTACTTCTCACTGGTTTAAGCCAGAAGTAGAATTCATTGTTCATGTACCTGCAAATCTCAGGGTAGGACTGGTTTCAGGCATAGCTGGATCCAGGCACTCCAGCGATATCACCAGAATGCTGCCTCCTTATCTGCTCCCTGCTGCTTTTTGCCTTGTGAATGTCATTATCTTCTACCACTGACAAGCCTTCTGCATGCCACAAAAAACTGGACACTGGCTGCTCAAATCGCCTACATCTTTATACCTTCTCCACGGGAAAGAGACTCTTACCTGGTAAATCTCTGGGAAGGGCTCTGACTGGCTCTGCTTGGAGCATAAGCCCACACCCTGGACCAGTCTCTGTCATTTGTAATGATAGAGTAAACTGGCCATATCTGGGACATTTGCTCTACCCTGAGTCTGGGGGCAGGGTGCAGTACTGTGATTGGCAGTTCCATTAGAGCTACCTGGAGAAGGCAGCAGGGTGGCTTCTTGGCAAAAAATGGGGTAGCTAGGCCAGCAAAAGTGATGGTGACTTTTCCAGAAAAGGGGCAGTCAACTGGGCAGCCTCCCAAAGGATCTCTCTAAGTCCTGCATTGCCCCCTTCCCCTTGAGCCTTTCCTTTGCCCAGACATGGGAACCCAGTGGGCTGCTGCTGCCAAAGACTTTGGGTGTAGGGCCAGCCAAGCCTGGACTTCACCCAGACTGGCAGGTGCTGCACCAGGGGCCCAGGCCCCAGCCCCTCACAAAGACTTGGCTGCTGAGGGGGCATCGATGACACAGAGGCTTTGTGGCAGCTGAGGGGAGGCAGCCCCAAAACCTTGTGCCCCAGACTACAGGTGGTCTCTAGCCCTTCTATCTCCCAGCAGAATGTAAGGTGACAGCTCACACTGCTTCAAATTGTTTTGTGATAGATGGGGAACTGCTGGGTGAAATGACAGTGACAGTGACAGTCAAATACTAATAAATAACAATTACGACAATTGCTCTTATATTGCTGATCTACTACCACTGCACCCTGCTCTTTATGTACTTTTATATATATTCACTGTTTCTGTGAATATTTAGGTGTGTGTGTATGAATATTTAGGTATATTCGTTACATCTGTATTCACTCAAATGTCATGACAGTTCTATGACAAAGGCACTGTTATCCTCATTTACAGATGACAAACCATGCACAGAGAGGTTAAGGGACTTGCCCAAAGCACCCTCCAGGAAGTGGCGGGGCAAGGGGTCAGCCTGCACTCTGGCTCCCACGTGGCTGCCTCTGAGATTCTGCTAACTTGGCTCAAACTGCACACAGACCCATTCATGAGTTACAGACTCAACTTAGTGCCAGCATTTTTGTGTTGTTGGTTTTTTTCTTTAATGAAAATAGTATGTAGAATGAATTTTCAAGATGCATTGCGCATACTAGGCATCAGGAGACTTTGGTGCCAAGATGCTGGGTCAGGTATTATATTTTTGTTGTGGTTCCTATTTGGGAAGTTTGAAGCTGACTCAGTGCCATTCCTGGCTTGTGCCTGCTTCTTTCTGCTTTCTACCCCCAACACCCATAAATAGCCTCCAGTCCACCCTGGGCTGGGCACCAGGCTGTCAAACCTTAGGAGCCCAGGTCTGGGATTCACCTACTCCCCAGAGGTTCACTGAGGGCCACCACCTGCCAGCCTGTGCTAGGCACTGAGGGCAGTAGTAAATAAGGCAGCAAGGATGTTCATGGGGCTGCAATCTTGTGGGGGAGGCAGACAGTCCTCAGGCACCCCAAGTGAGTCATACAGTGTGGTACAAGATGACAAGGTGGAAAGTAAAGCAAGGAAGAGGGGTAAGAAGTGTGCGGGGTGGCTAGGTTTTTAGACAGCATGGCCAAGAGCAATCACTGGGAAGATAACATTTGAGTAATAACCTGCAGGAGGTGAGAGAAGGAGCCATGTGGGCTTCCAGGCAGAGGGAACAGCCAGTGCAAAGGTACTGGGGCAGGACAATTTCCACCATGGTGGAGGCATGGTATAAGTCCTAGTTAAGCCACTCAGCAGCTGCAAACCTTGGGCACATGAATTCTTCTCTCAGAGCCTCAGTTTCCCCTTCGGAATCCATCTCACAGGACTGTGGTGTGGGCCCAGTGAGACTGTACATAGAGAGTAAGCAGTTCTGGGCCTGGCAGTTGGGGAGAGCCCAGTGAAGTTAGCCGTTAGCACGGCTCTCCGTGTGTCCCCTTGCCACATCCCGGTCAGCCCAGTGAATTTTGGCCCTCTGTGAGACTCACAGCCCCAGGCAGCCCTTTTTCTACCTGAACACAGCACAGGTCACACCCAGACATGGCCCTGGCACACCCCTTGCAGAGCTCCCCTGTTGGGCACTCAGGCCTCAGGGCCTCGTCACCTAGGGCTGCAGGGAGAGACAGTGGCCTGTAGTGTTTGCCGTGCCCCTTCCCAAGGCCCTTCCTGTGTGGAGGCAGAGCAGAGGATCACAGCCCTAAGGCAGTAACAGCAGTGGGAACAGTAAGGGCTAACACTTAGTGTTTCATATGCATGAAGCCTTCTAATCCTCTCAGCAGTGCCATCATGTGGGCTCCTTAGTCTCATTCTGCAGGTGAGGGTGTTGAGGCCTAGGCTGATAATCACTTGTGAGGGCCCTCCCCGTGGCAGAGCCAGGACATACACCCAGGCCCATGCTCACCACACTGCCTGTCAGGTCGAGTTTGAATTCTGGCTCTGGGACAGACAGCCCTGAATTTGGTCCATCTCTGCCACTCACTAGTCATGTGACCTCGGGTGAATGGCTTTACTTCTGAGTGCCTCAGTTTCTTCATCAGTAAAATGGGCTTTTTGTTGCTTGTTCCCTGTCTTCCTGGAGCAGTGGGAAGGGTGGGAAGGTTCTCTTGGACTGGCACATATAAGAAGGTAGCACAGGGCTGCAGGGCAGCAGGTGCTCTGAGTGGCAGACATTGTGATGACCCCGCTCCGGAGGCCATCACTCTGAGGTCAGAGAGCCACACTGGGGAGCAGGTGTTGAGTTCACAGAGTTCTGTGCTTCTGTTCACACACATATGCCTCAGGCTCTTGTAAACCAAGGTGTGGGGCCAGCGCGAGGGGCCCAGGCCTTCTTCCAAGCCAGCCGTCTGGCCTGCCCCAGATGGCCGCCCCCGGCCGCCAAGCAGACAGTCAAGTGGGCCCACATCTCCCGGCAGATGGGATGTGAGCGTTGGCAGGACCAAGCTTCCCACCGGGGTGGGAACAGACTTGAAGCTGGGCTTTGGCACCACATGCCTAAATGTCACCCCCCACCCCCGAGCCTGGACAGGATGAGCCCCAGGCCTGGGCTGCCCTGTCCTGAGCGCCTTGCTGGTGCTGTCTCTCCCAGGACACAGGAGTCCTCAGCCAGCCAGGGTCTATCTGTCCCACCAGGCCCAGTGGCTCCCTTTAGCCCCCAAACGTGAGTTTTAACAGGCCTTGGTTTGGCAGGGTTAGAGGTTTGGATTTTTATCTTCTTTTTTTCTTTAAAAAGTAGCAGTCTGTCCAGGTGAAGAGAATAAGGGAAGGAGAGAGAATTAGTGTTCCAGAGAAGGAAGAGATGTGCGCAAAGACACAGAACATAGAATGCAAGACAACTTCCAACAGGAAATTCGCAATGAGTCTCATGACTATCCTCATAGAGTGGCCAAATTTCCAGAAAACAGAAATCGAAACAGATGCAGAGATGTAAGCCCATATGATCACAGTCATGTTAAATTGCAAAATGCTGACAATGATTATATTAATGCCAGCTTAGTTGACATAGAAGAGGCACAAAGGAGTTACATCTTAACACAGGGTCCACTTCCTAATACAGGTTGTCATTTCTGGCTCATGGTGTGGCAACAAAAGACTAAAGCAGTTGTCATGCTAAACCGAATTGTGGAGAAAGAATCCGTTAAATGTGCACAGTACCGGCCAACAAAAGACGACCGAGAGATGCTGTTTAAAGAAACAGGATTCAGTGTGAAGTTCTTGTCCGAAGATGTGAAGTCATATTATACAGTACATCTTCTGCAATTAGGAAATATCAATAGTGGGGAGACCAGAACAATATCTCACTTTCATTATACTACCTGGCCAGATTTTGGAGTCCCTGAATTACCAGCTTCATTTCTCAATTTCTTATTTAAAGTGAGAGAATCTGGTTCCTTGAATCCTGAGCATGGGCCTGCAGTGATCCACTGTAGTGCAGGCATTGGGCGGTCAGGCACCTTTTCTCTAGTAGACACCTGTCTTGTTCTGATGGAAAAAGGAGATGATATTAACATTAAGCAACTGTTACTGAATTTGAGAAAATATCGAATGGGACTTATTCAGACACCAGATCAACTCAGATTTTCATATATGACTATAATAGAAGGAGCAAAATTTATAAGGGGAGATTCAAATATACAGAAACGATGGAAAGAACTTTCAAAGGAAGATTTGTGTCCTCTTTTGATCATTCACCAACCAAAATAATGACTGAAAAATACAATGGGAATAGAATAGGCCTAGAAGAAGAAAAACTGACAGGTGACAGATATACAGGACTGTCCTCTAAAGTGCAGGATACAATGGAGGAGAACAGTGAGTGTTTTGCGGAAGTGTGTTCAAGAGGACAGAAAAGCTAACACGGCTCAGAAGGTGCAGCAGATGAAACAGAGACTAAATGAGACTGAACGAAAAAGAAAAAGTTTCCTTAATTTTAAAAAGGAAAACAAACAAACAAACAAAAATTTAAACTCAATATATCTTTGGAGGAAAATTCTCCTTACTGACATAGTCAGGCCAAGATTGACAGACACCTAAATATTTCATAACTTGAGAGTATTCTGCAGCTATAAATTTTGAACCATTGACGTGCAAAGCAAGACCTGAAGCCCACTCCGGAAACTAAAGTGAGGCTGATAAACCTGTAGATTGCCTCACATTTGTTTGTTTACAAAGTAAACCTTACATCCAGGGAACAAAGACTACCACCAGCAGAAGACTTTGCAGAACCCTCTAATTTGATGTATTCTTAAGTTTTTTAATGCATGTATGAAATGTAAAAGAAATAAATTAGGAGAGACTACTTTGTATTGTACTGTCATTCCTACTGTATTTTTATACTTTTTGGCAGCATTAAATATTTTTATTAAATAGAAAAAAAAAGTAGCAGTCACTCATTGTTAGAAATTTTAAGTACATAAGCTTGCAAAGTAGAAAACGGAGAGTCTCATATTCATTGAGAGAAGCAAGTGTAACAGTGCATTGATTAGGGCCTCAGTTGGGTTCAGGAGGTATCTGTGATTGTGTCTGTGTATAGAAATATTCTCCAAAGCATACTGTTAAGTAGAGACAAAGCAAACTGTAGCTTCCTATTTGTGGATTTGTACAAATATATTTGACATGTTTACACATAATAATGGCCAACATGCTTTGAGCATTCGCTGTATGCTAGAGACAGTGCTAAACACAGTACCTGGATTATCTTACTGAATCCTTAACAACCCTTTGAGGTAGGCACTATTATCCCCATTTTATAGATGAGGAAACAGGCGCAGAGAAATTAAGTGACTTCCCTAGATCACACAACTAGGAAAGAGGTAAAGTTGGGATTCGAACCCAGGTAGACTGACTCCTGAGTGATCACCCAGGAAAAGTTCTTTAAGGATGCATCCCCCGCCCCGCCAGTCCACACAGAGAAAGGCAGGGATGCATCTGAGCCAGTGCCAGTGGAGAGCCATTTGTGCAAATAGAAACCTCCTTGCTTATGTGGCCCTGAGGCCTTTTCCCAGCTCACTTGACAGGTTACCATCAGCGAGATGATGCCAGTGTAATTGGGGTGTCGTTGGGGTCAGGTCACTCAGGGACTCACAGGCTGAGTAGTGAGGGGTAGCTTTTATTCAGAGAAAGATGGGAAACTGTAAGCAAGTTCTGCACCAAGAAGAGACAGGCTCTAACTCAAGCTGCTGTGGGAAGAACGGACTGGGGTGGGGTGGTGGCAGGGGCGGGAGCAGGGAGCATGGGGTGGGGGTGGGGGTGGAGGCCGCTGTCTGTGCAGGGAGAACATGACAGTGGGCAAGACCAGGTGGACAATAGAGGTGACCACTCTTGTTGCAACCTACCAATGCCCTACCCACCACCCCTGCAGAGAAGGAAACTCTGGCAGCTTTTCAAGTAGTAACTTTTGGTCAGTTCTTCTGAGCCAAAACGTTCCAGTAAGCCTGCTGTGTCCAGTGTGGACAGGATGAGGGCCACACTGTCCCTTGACCCCAGCAGAGGGCGCTGCGGGGCAGTGTCAGCGGGATACAAAAACACTGATCCTGTCTGTGTGTGAAGTGACACTGAAGCCCCAATCCCAGGGCCACACAGACCGGGCAGGGCCAAGCATCCAACATCATTGCTTTTCTCGATCTGTTTCAAGACTACCCTACTTACGATGAGAGATAATTGTTTGTTTAATTACTGGGGCCAGAACTGGGAACTCCCAGCCACAAGATCATTCCATTCCTTCCACGCATGCCCCTTGTCCAGGTCCTGTTTGGCAAAGGTGGGCTATGTGCTTAGAGGCAATGTCATGACATGTTATTTTTGCTGCTTCCTGTGTCTGTTGACTTAGGGTGAGAATGTTTTTCCAGTTAACACTGGTCCTCCGTAGTGTTTAAATCAGAGCCCAAATGTATTTGGCGTTTGTAACCGTCCCCCAGCGGGGAGGGTTTTCCCTACCCTGACACAGAGCCTCTGCAGCGCCACCATGTCGTGGGGATGGGGCTGCTGCTGCGGCGTCTAGCCCAGGGAAGGTGACCTAGTGGCCAGCAGCCCATTGTGGGTAGAAGCTAAGCTGGTGTTGGTGGGGTGTAAACTGGTACAACCACTTGGAAAACTGTTTGGCAGCTCAGTAAAATTGAAGGTTAACATACCCTGTGACTTAGCAGTTTCTCTCGTAAGTATAAAGCCAAAAGAAAATGTGTTCATGGACACAAAAAGATGCTTCTCTGAATGTTCCTAACAGCACTAGCCACAGTTGTCAAACACGAGGAGCAGCTCCTGTGCTCGTGAACAATAGACCAGATTAAATCCATCCTGGGAAAAACGTCAGCCTCTTGCCGTACTGTGGTCGAATGTCATGTCCATAGCATTCAGAGAAGTAAGCCAGATACAAAAGAATTACAAACTGCATGAAGCTCAAAAACAGGCAGAAATAAATTATGGTGTTGGAGTCAGGATAGTGTTGCCTTTGGGGAGGAGGAAAGGGGCACCAAAGGGCTTCTCGGGGGCTGGAACTGTCTCTCTTGCTCTGGGGGTGACTACCTAGTTGTTTACTATGCTAATTCCTTTAGCTGTACTGACACATGTTGTGTACTTTTCTGTATGTGGATAATACTTTACAGTAAAAAAATTTACCAAAAAGAAAACTCATGAGCTTTGGAGAAGTCAGGCCCGGGCTGGAATCCTGGTTCAGCCACTCGGCTGTGGTAACATTGGAGAAAGCACCTAACCTCTCAGAGCTTCAGTTTTCTCATCTGTAAAATGAGGATAATTAAAACGCCCCTGAACAGACCTATACATACAATTTCATAATTGCTGTTATACCTGGAATACAGAGCCATGAAGGTACTTTCATAAATGTAACTTGTTATCAAGGTGTATCAGTTAGAAATGACTTTGTCTGCAAAGTAACAGAAACCCTGCCTAGCCATAGCTACAGCAAATAGGGCATTATTTTATGACCTATTAATTTCCTCATGATCCTAAGAGGCTTGCCACAAATCCAGACATCTTATCCTCATACCAGTGTCCTTAGCAAGAAGAAATGGGCAAGTGGAAAGGTGCTTCCCCTTTACCAGGAAGGAAAATCTGCCCGGGAAGTCCTCCCCAAGCCGAATTCCCCTCATAGTCCATGCCTGGCACTAGTCATGTGGCCAGCACAGGAAAAACCTGGAAAGCCGCGTCTGGGAAAGGCAGGCTGAGATGGCCCAGAATGGCTTGACTAAAGGTTTTCAACCTCAGCTACCCATCAGAATCACCCAGGTGGTTTTAAAACTGTACATGTGTGTGTATAAGTAAACACATGTATATTTCTATGTGCATACATGCCTGGGCCCCACCACAGACCAACCATATCATTATGGTAATATGTTTACATAAAATATTAACTGTCATAATGACAGAGTGTTCATTTGCATGCTCACACCTCGTGGAGCCTGTTTAATTCATTGTACTTCTTACTACGTGGCATAATCCATCTCCCCACTCAGCAGTCAGCTCCATGAGGGCAAAGTCTATATTTTGTACCTGCACTCAGAACAGGGTTGGAGCTTCAAGGGCTCTCAGACAATATTTGTTGACTAAACAAAAATCCCCTCCATCCATCGTCTCATTGCTCATGCATTTAGTCTTCCCACACTCCTTTGGGGTTATGGTACTGTTACTGAACCCACTTCACAAAAGAGGAAGCCAAAGCTCAGAGATCCAAAGTCACTGGATCAAGATCTCATAGCCAGGAGCCAGCAAATTCAAGTCCTGGCCCAGACCTAAACCTTTCTGGCCCTAGAGCCCAAGCTTCCAACCATCACACATGTGCTTTGAGAACAGGACACCCTCATATGCCCTAATCCTTTCCTGGATCCCGAGAGCCTGCTAACCTTCCCTTCTGTCCCGAACAGCTCATAACCCTGCGGGGCTCCATCCTGGAGGACGCCACCCCCACAGCCACAAAGCATGGGACTGGGCGAGGCCTCCCCCTGAAGGATGCCCTAGAGTACGTCATCCCCGAGCTCAACATCCACTGCCTGCGGCTGGCTCTCAACACTGCCAAGGTGACGGAGCAGCTCCTGAAGCTCGACGAGCAAGGGGTGAGCTGGGACCATAGTGGGGGGGCCCTGGGGCAACCCTGCTCCTGGTACCTCCTCCCTTTCTGCCTTGCTCACTTTTTTTTCAGTGAACAGAAACCCATGTAAGTTAATGTAAAAGGAAGGATCTATTATCAAATTCTGTGGTGCTAAGAGCAGGCATGTGACTTGGTCTCGAGAGAAATGGTCTAAGGATGAGATAGCCACCAGATTCCTGTATGTGTTCCCTCCCCGCTCTCCAGGTTGGCTCCCTCTGCTTCTCTGTCCCTCCTACAGCTCCCAGAGCCACTGTTAGAATTACAGCCACATGCAGACCCCAGTGAGCTGGCTCTCTGTCCCAGGAGGTCAGGTGTCTGTCCATGGTCCAGTCCCCAGTCGCCAGGGAACCCAGGGATACAGAATCTTAGCCAGTTCCACCACACCTGCAGTGGGGAGTCAGCCAAGGCAACAGTCTCTTCCCCTGGGGAGTGGCCTTGCCCTCTGCAGAAAGAATGAGAATGGGCAGCGTGGGTCTTGTTGTGCCTCTCTGGAACGGGAGGGAGGCAGAGGGACAGCCAGCGCCTGGTCCCACACTTTTTTCCTTCCTCTCTGGCTGTGGCACTAAATTCCTGTGTGACCCCAGCAGCTCCCTGCCTGAGAGAGCCCGCTCTGTTCCATCCCCTCTAACATCTCTGCCTGGCCTGCCTGCATAAAGCCGCTCTTGCCTCTGCAGCTCTGCCGGAAACACAAAGTGGGTGTCCTTTACTGTAAGGCTGGCCAGAGCTCGGAGGAGGAGATGTACAACAACGAGGAGGCCGGCCCTGCCTTTGAGGAGTTCCTCTCCCTGATCGGCGAGAAGGTCTGCCTGAAGGGCTTCACCAAGTACGCTGCCCAGCTGGATGTCAAGAGTAAGTGGGGAGCCAGATCGTGGGGAGCCTCCACCGCACACATGTCCAAAAGTCAGAAGGCCCGGTAATGCCACAGCAAGGACTCAGGGCAGCAGGAGCGCTCACACTGTTGGCAGGGGTGCAGTAGTGCAACCACTTTGGAAAAGAGCGGGCCATGTTCTCATAAAGTTTGAAGGTACACCTACTCTGTGAGTCAGCAGTTGCACTAACTAGTTCTCCTAGGCATGAGAACTCATGCATGTGCATGCCGGGAGATGTCCCAGATGTGCATGACTGCAGACGCCCCATGGTGCCCAGTGTGCCCCAGCAGAATTGGAGTCTGTCCACTCAGCAGAGTGCTGTGAGGCAGT